TACCCAGGTAGACAGAAACACTTGGAAGAACTTTAAAGCCTGAGCTTTGGAGTGTTGGGGGAGACTCCAGGCTGCCATAGTGGTGGTGATTTGGTGGTGAGGGGCGAGGTCTCCAGCCAAAGCCTAGCCAGGCTCTTCTGTCCTCTGCTTTCTCCACCCAAGCTCCAGACTTACCAGTCTGTGGTCCCAACCTCCCTTCCCCTATCGCCACCCCCTACCCCCACCTCCAGGCGCTCCGGGTTTCCGGCCCGACCTATGGAGGCTCCAGATTGGGGACGGTGGAGGAGGGGTGGCATTTCCTGGCCTGGCCGCGTCACTCATGGACGCTAGGACAACGCGCTGACCGACAGGCACCAGATGCTATTTCGGGCGGCGCCCCGCTTAGTGCACAGTTTCCGTTTTTCCACTGTCGGAAACAGGGGAGGGAGAGAGTGTAGACGTCAGGAGCCCCCAGCCCCAGGCAGGGGTTTAGGGACTAGGGTTTAGGGACTAGGAACTGCTGCTGCTAGACGGTCAGAATTTGCACCCCGCTGAAGAACACTGAATAGATGCTTGTGAAAGACCCCAGACTCACTTGAAGGTATTTAAATTAAAGGAACTCAAACCAAACGCATAATCCTCCCCCCTGGTCTCCAGACCCACCTTCTCTAGAAATAACCATCTACCCAATACTATTCTTATTTCTTAGGTAATAGTTATTATTTGGAGTAAGATGTGTTCTAAGAAAAATTTATTCTTCGGTGACTAGGATACTTTGAAATGTATGCTTAATGGGATAATTTAGAAGGCAAAGGGAATTCCCTTTGCAATACAAATGTTGAGATGCAGGAGGAAGAGGAGGAGAATGAAGAGGAGGAAGAGAAGGAGGAGGAGCAGGAGGAGGAGAAATGAAACTTATAAATTCTATGCTTCATAGTTTTGACACAAAAGGCACCATGGAGATCCTTGATTACAATAGCTAATTGGATCTATTAGAAGTGTAACAAAGCACAAGTTATTATTCATGGTATATTGATGTCATTTAAAATGACAGGAATATTTATCCAGCTAACCTTTGGCCAAATTTCAAATAGCCAGAAACCCAAGGGTTTCTCTGACTTTTTCCCTCTCTTCCACCCTTCCACCACCGAGTTTCTACAAAGCTGGTTTTATACCTTACATACATTTTTCTCTTCATCCCATCTACTTCTCTCTTCTGCCAACACTATAGGGCAAGAGCTAATCTCCCTTTCCTGATCATTGCACTGGCCCCAGAGTTGGTCTGCCATTTTCCTTCCCACCCCCTCACCCCAATTCCAATTCCACATTACATGCAAAAGGTTTTCTAGAAAGGCAAATTCAATCCTTTATAGGACACTATAACTTTAAAACAAGCAGATATAATGGGTCTCCCCCCTGAAAAAAATCTTTTTTTTTGGTCCCCCAGCTTGCTCTACTAATATTCTTTTCTGTTCCTTCTGCTTCAGTTCTTGGTCTAGACCTCACTTTCTCAAGAGGGCAGTCCTCACCTTGGGTTTCCAACACCAGTATCGCTAGCATCCTTTTGCAAAGGATGAAATGATTTGCCCAAGGGTCCCAATGTGCAAAGGGGACAGAGATGGTTTTCAAACTCACAATTACATGATTCGTTGTTTCCAAGTGATGAGGTCAAGTGAAGGCAAGAGTTCTGGGCCGGGGGAGGGAGTCAGGGTTAGGCTCTTCTTGGGACACAGTGGCCCTTCCACCATAGGATTCTGTGGAAGTCACCTGTATCCAAATTGCAGGCTGACTTTTGCCAGAGAAGTCAGAGGAAATAGTGGGCACAAAGAGCTGTACTGAGTTAGGTGCCATTTCGGTTCTCCTGAGACCCAAGAGAAGCTAGAACTTAGGGGACCATACTCAGATCAGTCCTTGACTGGCTCTCCATCTATCACCAGACTAGGGGTTTCCCCCCAGCTTTCAGGCTCCAAAAGGACCTTCAAACAAGATATTAGAGGGACAAAGCAACTTAACATGATCATGAGTAGAGCTGTGACTTAAACAATAGAATGTAGAGTCCTGGGTGTTCCCTGGGTAGTAGTAACCAGACGTGGCCAAGTCACATCTCACTGTGCTTTAACTTCCTGCTCTATGATGACAACCAGCTCTCTCATACAAGTGTATATGGTGTTTTTCTGGGTCATATATAGTCTGCACAAGATTCTATATATAACCAACCCTTCCCACACTACCTTTTAAATATAATTTTATTTAATGCTCACAACTTCGTGTGATAGGGGGAAAAAAAACTTCTCTGGAGAAACTTAGGCTCAGAGCTAGGTGATTTAAAATTTGAACCTGAGGTCTTTCTGTACTACCATGAAAAAATAAAGCCAAAAAGCCTCCATGAGCTGAACCCCAATCACCCAGGTGGCAATGAACTTTGGTTCCTACCCATTAGTATAGATTTTGGTCCTTGCAATGAGTTGAACCTAATTGCAGTCTTCCCAGCCCTTCTTCAGCTGAGCTCTGTGTGCCAGCCAGATTTCTTTCCAACTAGGCTTCATTACTCGCATGAAATGTCACTTTGTGCCTTACTTTTGCTCTTCGTACTTCAGTGTTTCATCTACAAATAAAAAATAATGAAAGTAAAAACAAAAAGGTATCAGGGGAGTATTTCTTTCTCTATGCCCACCCTCCCAGTGCTGGGATGGGAACTGTGGGCTTGAGAATGCTGGACAAATGTTCTACTCACTTTGCTACACCTCCACTTGTTTATGAAGACTAAAAGTATTTATAGAGCCAGGACTGGCGGCTTAAGCCTGAATTTGTAGCTACTCAGGAGGCTGAGATCTGAGGCTCACTGAAACCAGCTGATGCAAAATAATCTGTGAGCCTCATCTCCAATTAATCACACAAAAGCCAGAAGCGGAGACATGGTTCAAGTGGTAGAGCACCAACCATGAGCAGAAAAGCACCCAAGGTCCTGAGGATCAAGCCCCAACACACACACACACACACACACACACACACACACACACACACACACACACACGCAGAAGGCTTAAAACAATCCCAGTCGCAAAATTGTTAGCTTAATTCAGTAGCAAAACGTATGTTAAACACACTATGGGGGAATGAAGTGACATTCATGACTGAGATTTTACCAAGAAGAATGGGTATTTTAATGATTGTATTAACATCTACCCATGAAGAGCCCCTTCCATTTTATATCGTCTGAGAGCCAGGGCAATAGGGGTGTAGTGGGGCGGGGGGGGGGGGGGGGGGCTTTTGGCCAAAAAGGAAATTAGCCATTGAAACACGGTATCTAGGACCTGGGAGACAGAATAAAGGTTGGAGGTGATGGTTCAGGTGTCAAGGTGATCTTCTGAGGCCGGGACAGGGTATCGGTCGGTGTAAGAGGCAGTGAAGGTGTGGAAGGTCCAGGGCGGGAGAGAGGGAGGGAGGGGGGAGAGGGAGTGCAGTTGTGGGGAGCCGGGATTCCCGAGAGGCCTGGAGGTGAGAAATGGGGCCGCGCCGCGGGGTCTTAGACCCAGCGCTGAGTCCTCTCCGCGGCGCATTCCGGAGCCGATTCCAGTGCCGCGCAACCAGTCCCCGCTCCCTCCGGTGAAATTGCCAAATTAAAATGAATCATTTGGGCCATAATGGCCGAGGCGCTTATCGGGGGCGGGCGGACCCGCGGCAGCGCCTTATCTCGGCGGCGCACACGGCCCCAGCGCGCCGCGGCCCATGCTAACGAGGCCTGGAACGTGAGCGGGATTAGAGCGCGGCGGGGCCCGAACGGGGCGCGGGCGGGAGGGCGGGCGTGGGGGGGGGGGGGGTCGGGCCGGCGGGAGGGGCCGGGCCTCCGCACCAAGGAGCAGGCCTCAAAATGGCCACACGCGCACCCCCGTACGGGAAAAACGTGAGCATTCTGGCCATTTTCTTAGAGTGTGGGGTGGGGAGAAGCGACCTGCAGCCTCCCACGGAATTGCTGGTCCATGTCTTCCTCCTTTCCCGACACCTTGCAGAAGCAGCCATCGCTCCTTTCCTTGGAGTTCTTTCCACGAGAAGGGGGGGGGGGACATTTTTCCACTGACCCCCCCCCCCCCCGCTCTCGCCGCCATCGCCCCTCCCGCCTCGGAGACTCTCTTCCTTCCTTCCCCTTTTTCCTTACGCAATATACAGAAATGAGCGAGGCAGTGGTTGGTGTTCATTTCTTCTCCGTGGTTGTGTGCATGCGGTGGGATTGTGCGAGTTGCGTGTGCGTGAGCCGTGGGCAATGTGGACGGCTCCCTACAGAGTGGTCTTTGGGGGCGCGAGCGGTTGTGTGTCCGAGTGTGATCGCAACTGTGCGGTCTGGGTGTGTGAATTCGAACCCTCCCGAGGCCCTTCTGCCGTGTATTCGTTGTATGTCATTGTACCCGTTTCCTTTCTCGACAGGGCTCTTGCGTGTTGGGTTGTGTGGCCTTGGAGGTGCGTTTGGGCGGTGTGGTCGTTCTGTCGGGTGTGTGTGATCCTGGCTGTGCCGCTGTGTGTCGGTCAGCGGCTGCGTTTGATTGATTTCGTTGTGTCGTGTTGGGCAGTGCGGGGATCTGACCACGTCGGCTTGTGGGGTAGTGTCGGGTCGGGCTTCTCTGCGTCCCTCCTCTGGGGCTGGACCATGTGTGGTCTCGTCCACAGTGAGTTGTGTGCTTGTGTGCTTGTGTCCTTTAGAGGTGCATTTGCAAATCGCTGGGGGGCGGGAGTGGGGGGGAGGGAGAGCGAGAGACCGAGAGACGCTGGTGGGGGCGTCGGCGTGGGGGGCGGGGAGCGGGGTTTCACATTTTATTCCAAATTATGATGTATTCGGGAGCCAGTGTGGGCTTGGATGGCTGAACACAGCCCAGTCGGCGGCCGCCCTGTCCGTAAGGCCAGTCGGTGCCTCGGTGTTGGTGGGGTTTGATGGTGAGTGGGAGGCTCCTCCGAGCCCGAAGCTGAGCAGCACTCGCCCAGGCCCGCGCCTGCGAAGCCGGTAGCGGCGGGCTGGGGTTCGCGCGCCGCGCCGCCCGCTTCACCCACTTCTGGTCAGTTTCGCGGGTGCGGCCGCCATCGCCCGGGGGAAGAGGCCTGGTAAGGACAATGGGCGCATTTTCCAGACTTGGTACTATGGGTGGGAGGGGGCTTTCAGGATTACCTTCGGGGAACCTTTCCCCATCCCTCCTCGGGGGAATGACCTCCCGACGTGGATTAGATGCCTGTCGCGTGCGTGGCTGTGGCCGACGACCCCATGAGTGCCGCCTTCACCCCAGAAGGAAGGACTGCTTGACGCCAGTGATCGTGGTTGCTAATAAAGGCCACATCACAGCCCTCATCAACATCCATTTTAGTGAAATAATCGTCCAGAGGCGTAGCAGCTTGTCGCTTTAGAGGGAGAACAAAGCGGTGCAGTCCCATCTCCCCACCCTCAGCCCGGTTTTCCAAGTGGCTGGCTTTGGGGTAGGGAGAGAAAATGGAGAGAGGATCACAGAAGAATTCAGTCATAAAGCAAGCATTAGCCCCAACTAACATACCGAGAATGGATGGGTTCCTCCTCCCTCAATTTGGATTAGAAGAGAAAGAAAAAAATCTCTGCATTGGGTTGAAACACGGGGGGAGGGGGGGTAATTTTAATTTTGCATTTCCTCCCAAATCCATCACAAGAAGAAAGCAGCTTTCGCAATCAAGCCAAGACTTCGATCTGCAAACATCATAAACTGGACGATTTAGGCGACACAAATTTAACAAAACCGGTGGTTTCGTGGGGTGGGGGATAAAGGGAAAGTAAACCCAGTTACAGGGGTTTGCTTTTAACCTACCTTCTTTTTTTTTTTTTTTTTTGCCTTATTTTATTGCTGCAATGTATTGCTAAAATTGCTCCTTATTTTGCCTGTCAAAACCCCGGAAAAATAGAAAAATCGTTTTGTAAGGGTGGTAGAGGGAAAGAAATTATTTCTGCTTTTTAATTTTTTTCCTTTTTTTTCTCTTGTAGCTTTTCCTTCCTTCCTTCTTTACCACCTTCCTTCCTTCCTTCTTTCCTTCTCTCTTTTTCTTTGTTTCTGTCAGTGGGGAGAAAAGAAAGGCCCTGAATAGATCATACCACTCCACCAGCTCCCGTGGTGGATTCCCTTCCTGCAGGAATGGATGTCTGGCCCTTGGACTCGGTTCTGGTTTAGATGTGGGCCGAGGATGGACAGGCTCCCCCGCCTTCAATTAGATAAGATAGGGGTTCTAGAGAGAATGGCCGAGGGGCTCCGAGATTCTATCCTAGAAGCCCATTTTCGCCTTTCCTGACAGTCCCCACCCCCGATCCTGTTAAGCTGAGGACCACAGCTTCTCCCCGAGGCCGCAACCCGCACCGGGCTTAGGCTGCGGAGCAACCCGCATAGATGGCGTCCGAGCTTACAAACCAAACTCGGCCATAGTGAAGCGGACGGATCCTAGTTGCAGGGGTCGGGAGCGGTTGTTTTTGGACTAGTTATTTCTGATTGGTCAGGTGGAGGGTTCTTTTTTTTTTTAACGGGGGCGGGGAGGAGGGGGCTCCGAACACCTGCGGGTTGGGGGCGGAAAGCGGTTCCCGATTCCCTGGGCTAGCTAGCAAGGGCACATGAGGTAATTCCCAGCCATTGACCCCCCATTTCTCTCTCGCCCTCCCTCTTTCTCTCCACCCCCATCTTTCCTGGAAACTCGTGTTGGGCGCGGCAGACCGCCCAGGACCTCCGCGCAGCCTAACTAACTCCTGGCCTCCCAGCGAGTGGGGGGAAGCAGACTCCCCCCATCCCAATCTGGACCCCTCTCGGCGGAGAAGTGGAGGTTCTATTCAGAGGGTCCGGTCTGTCTAAATATGCCCCAGGTGAGGTTTTGTGTGTGAGTCGGGGTGAGGGGCCATATCGGTGGAAACAGGGCACAGGAAGGCCTTGGGGTTCCCGCCTGGGGTTGGGGAGGCTCAGGACCGGGGAGAGCCCGGTCTTGAACGTCAGCCTCAGAGGAGGGGACCAATGCAGGCTGGGAATGGGAATCTGACTGCTTACTAGCTACCTCAGGGCCTCGGAGCAGCAAGGCCCTTTCCTTTTTCCGGCCTCCGCGGTAAAACCAGCTGGTTGGACTAAATCCTCCAGGCCGCTCCCATCGTCTGGTTTAGTGGACGTTTCACAAAGCCGGTAACTTTGTTGAGGCTACATCCGGGTGGTGCAGGCTCTGCACCTCCCAACTCCAGCAGGAAGGCCGAAGCCATGCAAGCTAGCACAGGCCTCCTCCCCCCACCCCGTTTGTGGGCCCAGATGCAGGGCTGGAGGCCTAGGGTGGCCAAGCGGGAACACCCCTCCACCCTTGTAGGCGCAGGATGCTGTGCAAGTTTGGGGCTTTTCCAAGGTGCTCTGGGGGAGAGTAGGATAGGCAGGACTGAGACCCGGTCTAAGGCGGTGGCTCTAGCCCTCAACAAGCTGAAGCTATTTAATTTTAAAAGATTTCCATGATGGAGTGTGTGGGGACAGCTGTTGAAGACTTCTTGCCTGTCCCCAGGAGGGAGATCCCAGGAGTCACCATTCTGACCATGTAGCAACTGGGGATGTGGATCCAAAATTGTGAGTTTCAAGCTGGGTCTCTGCTGCACAAAGAGGGTGGTTGTAATGATCAAATGCTCTCTTCTAGTGCCATCCAGTCCTAAACCTTCCTGCTGCTTCTTGATCTTCCCCAAATAAAAGCAAATAAGTAAGTCACCCAGGCTTTCAGTAATCTTAATGGAACCGCACTTCATGCAGTTTAGGGACAGATAACCATAGGTGCTTTGTGAGTCCTTTGGTGGCTTCTTCCCTGGCATGGACCCATGGCTGGGGCAATTCTTGTCTCAGAAGAGTAGGCAGGGTTTTCCTGAGTAGGGAGTGGTTGCTAGAAGCCTTGGAAATAGGGATATTTATAGGCATCTCTAGAGGGCATTGGGGCCAGGGTCAACTCATTTGGAGTATGTGCTCTCCTTGTCCCTTGGGAACCTGCTTTTGCTGCTGCGGCAGAATTAATCAGGGGTATAAATGTGTCAGAACGGAGCTGGAGCTCAGTTCGTGATTGCAGTGAACATTTGAAACTCAAAGCTGAGACAGAAACACTGATCATAGGGTGCACACCGATGGTGGTAGCAATGAGGTAAACTCAAATTTCTACATTTCAGCAGGGGTTGGGATATTTCTGGTGTATTTTGAGTGGGAGGAGGGAGGCTAGAATGGTTGGCATACTTCAGATTCATTTCCAGAGGCCTCGGTGCCTTGCTTATGGTATTTTATGAATATGGATATTTTAAGAAATCTTCCTTCTGTTAGTAAACTCAGTTACAATGAAGCATGGCAGACCCACTAGCTTTGCAGCTGGTGTACAAATCTAGAGGAATTTTGTCTTCTCAGGTGCGGTTGGGGCTGGAGATATAGAACAGCATTGTTGTCTTAAACTCAGTTCTCTGCCTTGTGGGTGTCTAGTGGCAAGGAGCTGGGCTCTAGAGGAGGCTGAGGGAGGTCTAGTTTCCTTTCTAGGAGGAGAGAGATGGTTCCCAGGACAACTCTGCTCCAAACACTTCAGTGGCAGAATGGGAGCTCAATGTCTGCCACCAATAGTTAGTGGACTTTGCATTGAGCTAAATTGCACATTTATTTTATGGCCTTAAAATAACGGTTGTATAAATATAAGAGCAGAAATCCTATTTTAAGCATTTACAAAGCCTTTCAAGTTGATTATACATACTTATATAATCAATATTTATGCCTATCTATTGGGGCAGTATAGTCTAGACTGGTCTCAAATTCACAATCCTTATGACTCCTCCTCTGGAGTGTTGAGATTACAGGTGTGTGTGTGTGTGTGTGTGTGTGTGTGTGTGTGTGTGTGTGTGTCTGTGTCTTACTGTGCCCCGTGAATTGATTCCCCCCTTCTCCTCCTCCTTTTTAAAATAGCAGCAAGTACTTCCAAACTCTGGGTTCTGGGGTTTTCTGCTTCTGTTCTTTTTTTTTTTTGGGGGGGGGGGGTCCGGCTGTGGGGCCTGAACTCTGGGCCTGGGCGCTGTCCCTCAGCTCTTCAGCTCAAGGCTAGCGCTCTACCACTTGAGCTACAGCGCCACTTCCGGCTTTTTTCTTTTTTCTTTATGTGGTGCTGAGGAATCGAACCCAGGGCCTCATGCATGCAAGGCAAGCGCTCTACCACTGAGCCACCTTCCCAGCCCTCTGCTTCTGTTCTTGCCAGTATCTAGCTCCAATTGGATGAAGTGGAAGTAATGGAAGAAAGCTAGCATGGTTGTGGCAAGCCAAATGGCTGTGTTCGTCTTGGAGCATAAATGTTCAGCACTGGAAGGTTCCAGAAAGAGTGAAGGGGGAGGGGAGGAAAAAGAGAGAGGAAGAAGAGAGGAGAGGGGAGAGAGAGACAGAGTGACAGAGAGAAAGAAAGAATGAGAGGATAGCACAAGGTCTTAGAGGATACACCAGGATGGGGAGAGAGGTGCTGGATGGATCTATGGCCTGTGTGATGCTTCCTTCCTTTGGAGGGGAAGTCAAGACCCCACTGGTCTGGGGAGCACTATTTGAATGGATGGGCTGTACCACCTCAGCCAGGCCTCCCTTTCAGATCCTCCCTTCCAGGTTGGATAGATCCCCACAGAGCAGAATGGGGCAGAGCATACTGGATTGTAGGGCCAAGATCTTCTTTTCTGGGCTGTCTCTCTTCTCTGGGTAGGGTAGCTGCACACAGAATTGGGGGGGGGGGATTGGCTGTGTAGACACCTCCTCCCATCTAGGAAAATATGTGGGCAAGGTGGACTTGCTTCTCTAGATTATTAATACTAAATTTGTCAGCTCTGGCTGAAAGGGGCCTTTCATTTCCTGCTTTCCCCTCCACTAAGTTTCAGGGTGTCCCGTAGAGTATGTGTGGGGCAGACGCCTGGCGTGCCTGCCCCTGCCGTTGCTGAGAGGTGAAGGGTGGTTCTAAAAGCACCCCACCCGTGCCTGATAGATTCCCCGCCAAAACCAAAAGCTGGGGCGGGAAGCACAAGGTCGGTGGGGGGTTTGTTCCCTCCCCTTCCCTTGTGGCCAGAAAGGGGAGACCGGGTGATCTTTCTTTCTCTCCTTTGCACATTTCCTTCCTCCTTTTATTCCCTTCGGTTTTTCTTTCCCTGGCGGTATGGTATTCCTTTCCTTCTAATGCTACTGCCTTCTCTTTACACCTCTGTACTTTTGGCCCTCAGTGCCCCCAGGGTTCCCCTCCACTCCCGGCCTCTCCCCACCTTTCCTGCCCCAGGCGGGCGGAGGCCTTCAGGCTGAGGACGCAGGGTGCGGGGTTAAGGGGAGGGCGCCGTCCACGTGGCCCTGTTTGCCCGCCGCTTCCCACGTCGCTGCAGGTGGGCCGGGGCGGTTGTGAGAGCGGGCATCCGCCCTTGTGTCTGTCTGTCTGTCCGCAGGATGACCGAGCGGCCGCCCAGCGAGGCGGCACCCAGTGATACCCCGCTCGAGGGACCGGACGCGGCCGAGACTCGCATGGCCCCCCCGCACCTGGTGCTGCTGAACGGCGTCGCCAAGGAGACGAGCCGCGCAGCCCTCGCCGAGCCCCCGGTCATCGAGCTGGGCGCGCGCGGGGGCCCGGGGGGCGGCCCCGCCGGCGGGGGCGGCGCCACCAGGGACTTAAAGGGCCGCGACGCGGCGGCGGCGGCGACGGCCGGCGAAGCGCGCCACCGGGTGCCCACCACCGAGCTGTGCCGACCTCCCGGGCCCGCCCCGGCCCCCGCGCCCGCCTCGGTCCCCGCGGAGCTGCCGGCGGACGGCCGCATGGTGCAGCTGAGCCCGCCGGCGCTGGCGGCCCCCGCCGGCCCCGGCCGCGCGCTGCTCTACAGCCTGAGCCAGCCGCTGGCCTCGCTGGGCAGGTGAGCATCGCGGTGGGGCCCGGCTCCCCTTCTGTTCGTGGGGGCGACCCCGGCCAGAGCCTGCCAGTCTGGAAGCTGGAGCCCCCGCGCGGGTGGAAGAGGAAGCCAGCGAGGGGCTGGCGGGACAGGCGGGCACGCGCTGGGATGTGGGGGTGCACGCCTCTGGGAGGGACTCCCCCCTCCCTGTGGGCCCCGGGATAGTGTGTCCTCCTGCGAGCAGAGGCCGAGCTTACTTCTGATCGCTGCGGGAGGACCAGGCAGGAACGAAGGATATATATGAGAGTGGGTGGCTGCAGACAACCCCCCCCCTTTTTTTTTGGTACTGGGGCTTGAACTAAGGGCCTAGGGGCTATCCCTTAGCGTTTTCCCTCAAGGCTACTGTTTCACCGCTTGAGCCACCCCTTCACTCCCAGCCTTTTGCTGGCTAATTGGAGATAAGCTTCCCATGGACTTTCCTGCTGGAGGCTGGCTGACTTTGAACCACGATCCTTAGATCTCAGTCTCTTGAGTAGCTAAAATTACAGGTGGGAGCCACTGGCACCTGGCTTAACACCTGTTTCTGAATTTTGGCTGGCCATCCCCTCCTGGGCCCCACCCCAGGACAGAGGGCTCCCTCACTCTCAGCCCCTCTGCTCCTAGTCACTAGCTGTGGTTCCCAGTACAGCATCTGTACTGTTGGTGTGAGGAGTCCACCCTTCCCCAGACACTGTGATTTGTGAGGGGAGACAGGGTTGGGATGGGGAGAAGCAGAGGAGGTAGGGTAGAAGGTAGGGCAAGCAGTGAGAAACAGCTGTGGGGTGGTATGATGGCCCAGAGAACTTATCGGGAAGGCAACCCAGTGTCCAGTCCCCTGGGAACTGTATTTTGAGATTGGCAGGAAGGTACAGCATGCCCCTTTGTGGTGCTAGAGTTGTATACCATCAGGTATGAAGACTGTATGCCTGTGTAGAAATCCTGTTTGGGAGTTGAGGTGTCTGAGTGGATTGTGTGCTTGTTTCTAGAGGAGAATGCTGTGTGTGTGTGTGTGTGTGTGTGTGTGTGTGTGTGTGTGTGTGTGTGATGGAGGGATGCATGGCTCCTTCTTTGGCTTGTGTGGATGTCTGTGTGAGTTCCTGTTAATTCGTATATCCCCAAGTCAAGTGCTGAAGGAACAGGGTTGCCTTACAGGGATAGGAGGCTTTAAACCCTGGAAGGAGCCTACAGTCGTTTTGCCCATCTTAATGTGATGTTGTAATCCCTACACAGCGGTTTTTTGGGGGAGCCCGATGCCTTCCCTATGTTTACCACAAACAACCGAGTGAAGAGGAGACCCTCCCCCTACGAGATGGAGATTACGGATGGTGAGTCTACACTGCTCACTCTATGTACTGCCACCTCACAGTGGTTAGAACCCTCTGTGGGAGTATGGGGGAATCAGACATTATGCACATGTTTCCCTCAAGTAAGAGGCCACCTTGGCACCCCAAACTGCCAAAGCTTTTTGTCCCAGAACTAGGAGAGCCACACTCATGGTCCTGGGGAGAAGGGGGCATGGTGAGGGACACAGTGGCATTTAGGCCCAAGCTGAAGTCACTTCTAGAGCCCTGCCTAGGCTCCAGTCCTACATGCTGGGATATATATGGGGCGAGGCAGAGACATTCCACATTCCCAGCTTCAACCTGTGACCCCCAGGGAGTCCCTGCATCGCTCCTCAGTTCCACTTAAAAGCCTGGAATTTGCTCCGGCTTTGGACTTGCGCTTTCAAGGCTTTACACCCAAGTCTCCTCATGGAGGGGTTCTGTGTCCCTGTTACATGCTCTGGATTGAGACTCTAGAGTTCCTCTGAACGCCAGAGTCTATCCTGGGTCTTTGATTCCTCCAGAGGAAGGCGCAGCACTGCTACCATAAGGGAGGGGATGGAGAAATGGGAGACTTAGAAGACGCTCATCCTCTTCCTGATGAGTACCCAATGTCTTTGGGGCACAGACCCCAAGCAAGAGAACAGGTTTTTCAGAGCTTCAGGACTTTGAGTTCCTGGGCTATCAGGACTTCTGGCAGTCTGGGACCCTATGAAAGGTACTGAGGCTAGAGCTAGCAGAGGGAGGGTGTGGACCTGGAGGGGCTCTGGGAGAAGCTCTGCTTCATCATGTTGTTCCTCAGAGAGGAAAATGGGGTAAAGTATTTATTTAGAGCCTGGCTTAGGGTAGGTGCTGAGCTCCTCCTGCCTGTTAGGAAACTATGAGGGGAGAGTAAACACCCTTTCCACCTAAGTCTGAAGTTTGTGTCATTTTCATGACCATGCTCCTAGCACCAGCATATTGCTAATAGTCCTCAGGAAGTCATTTCAAAGGGTGGAAGTAGTGGGTGTAAGTGACAGCAATAGTAGTTGCCACTTGTTGGATACCTATGATATGCTGTGGACACAATAGTGTCCACAGTATGTATGGGCTCGTTTTATTTAATCCTCACCCACCACCCATGAGGTCGGCATTGTTTCTATTTAACAAAGGAGGAAAGTGAAGCTCTGAGAGGTTAAGCAGCTCACTTAAAAACCACACAGCTGAGTCCTAACCAGCCTCACAGCAGTGGAATAGCTTTGGAATAGGTCCTGAATCATCACTGTGTCCTCAAATGACACATAACCCAGACAAGGAACCAAGCACAGAAGCAGTCAGAATGGAGAATCATAGAGAGGATGAGGGGGGACTGCCTAAGGGGTTGTCAGGAAGGTCTCAGAGATGAGGTACACAGATTGGGTTGAGAGGAAGAAGAAGTGGGTGTTTCCCAGTAGGTGGAATCTTTGAGAGATCTCCACCTGTTCTCCTAACATCTGTCCTCTTGATTCAGGTCCCCATACCAAAGTCACTCGTCGGATCTTCACCAACAGCCGGGAGCGATGGCGGCAGCAGAATGTCAATGGGGCATTTGCAGAGCTTAGAAAACTGATTCCTACACACCCCCCAGACAAGAAGCTCAGCAAGAATGAGATCCTCCGCCTGGCCATGAAGTATATCAACTTCCTGGCCAAGCTGCTCAATGACCAGGAGGAGGAGGGCATCCAGCGGGCCAAGCCTGGCAAGGACCCCGTGGTAGGGGCTGCTGGTGGTGGGGCAGGGGGTGGTGCACCTCCAGATGACCTTCTGCAGGACGTGCTTTCTCCCAATTCCAGCTGTGGCAGTTCCCTGGATGGGGCAGCTAGTCCGGACAGCTACACAGAGGAGCCAGCACCCAAACACACTGCCCGCAGCCTCCACCCCTCACTGCTGCCTGCCACTGATGGGGCCGGTCCACGGTGATGGGTCTAGGACTGCCCAGGACCAGCCAACAGGAGCCTTTAGGCCACAGGAATGGTGGACCATTGAGTACCATGGGCTGACAAGCAGGGCAGTAGACTTGATGAACTTCCCTCCAGTCTGAACTTTGGGAAGCCCTAACTGACTCTGGGCTGGCTTTTCTATTTCCTGCTTCAGAGGAAGAACAGGAAAATGGAGTGGAGTGGTAGGTACTTTTTCTGAAGATGGCACGGTCTTCTCCCTTCCCCAAAGTCACTAAGACTTCCCAAATAAGGGGCTTAAGTGTCACTGCTTTTGGCCTGGAGTTTTGGAGCTCTGCCTTTGCTAAAAGCTGGAGTTGTCAGCCATCACCTAAGGTATCCAGAAACCTTTGCCTTGTCTTTAGCCCCTCCCGAGCTGACTGAAGTAGCTTCTGTGGCTGCTTCTGTCCCATTGTATAGGTACCCAAGAGCTGTCCATTATTTTGAGCCCAGTCATTATCCAGTCTAGTGTTGCTCTATCCGGCTTGCCAGCGGCTGTGGATTCACAAGCCTCTAGGTGCCTTCTTCAGGGCCTGGTTGACAGCCTACTCTGGACTAGCTGGACCAGAGAGTCAGGAAATTCAGGAGCCCTGACTTCTTATCCTGGGGAAGCAGAAACCTGCTTTTTTCTCACTGACACTTGCCTTCCTATCCTGTGGCTGTGGAGATGAATATGCCCTGTTGGGCTTTGTGCGAAGGCAAGGAAAGGGAAAGGGAAATTGAACAACTTCAACTCCTGCACATCACTGTTGATGTTGGTGGGCAGATGCCAGTGTGCCGATGGCACGTGCATGCTGGGAGACTTGCAGCCCATGTGTGTTCTCGAGGCTCAGAGGGCATTCCTCCTGCAAGATGTCTGTCTGTTGGTTGGTGGTTTGTTCTTCCTTCTGAATTGAGTGCTAACTCTGTCCAATTCTTTGTATTTGGAAGTTTTGCTTGACTTTAGTTATCAGTAGACTCTTTAGGCCTTGATATGACCCAGGATTTACAGCCCTACTGTAGGGCCTGGGGAATCCAGTCAGAGACCAGGCCCTGATGAAGACCCAAATATATACATATTCATTAGCAGGACCTTAAATATCCCTTAATTGTGTAGTTTTCATTCATCAAAGGTGCAGATGGGAGGTTGATGTATTACAATAGGAATGTCCTTCCAAAAGTTGTACAGGAAGTTTTTTTTTTTAAATCATCCATTTAAAAAGAAATAACTACTACAAGCTCTTTTGTAAGATGGAGAATCCTTTTGTAGTGTGGACCACTGCCTCCTTGTTTATCTCCTGTGTTGATCTAGATGCTGGGTCATGGTTTACTGAAGTCCAGGCCTAGTTTATTCCAAGCCCATGGAATAAACTGCACTGAAGTCCTGTGGATCTCCCATTGTGCTCTTAAGTCATGTAACCCTCCTCCACTAGGCTCTGGCTAGTGAAAATATCCAATGGCCAATTTTTGTCATGCAGGGACCATCACTGAGGCTGTGGGAAACCGTTCCTGCTCTGAGCCTTAACCCAGTAGCTTATTCCCACCATGCTGGGGCCTTGAAAACAACCTTACGCAAACAAGGAATGATCCCTGCCCTCTCCCCTTTTAGTTAGGTTGTGAGGTCCAGTTCTCTGGCAGTATGACTGACTGTTGAAGCATTCTGGGAGATGCTATGCAGTATCTCACCCCTGTGAAGATGGAACCACTGTCCTAGGCTCCAAGGCTGTGTTTACCTCTAGTAGATTATCTTGGCTTGGGAATGAATGAAATCTGCTTTAATGCAATAGGACAGGTAGTTGGGTCTTATGAGATGGACTATGCATTCTGTCAAGATGTCAAGCTTTAGTTACCTCTACAGATTTGCAGTGTGACTAGGATAAGGCACCTAACTGTCAGTTTCTCATAAATACCTTGACTTAGACTGTCTCCTGGGGCAGTGGTATGGACTAAATAAATATGGTAATGAAAGTACAAGTGTTTTGAGACCATAAAGACCTTTGTTGTGGGCTAGGGTATATATAGCTCAGTGGTAGAGCCCTTGCCTAGCATGCATGAGATTCTAGGTTCATGAGATTCTAGATTCTTTTTGACCTAGCATCCAAAAAAAGAGAGGCTTTGTTGCCCTCTCCATACCAAACCTGCAGTGAGGTTAAAATCCAAACCGTGGGCAGTGGACATTGGGTAAATGAGATTATAAATTGCTTTTGCCTGAGTTTTCTAGATCCTCTTAATTTATCAAGATTGTTTTCATTTATTTGTGTCTCAGTCCAAAGCAAGAAACAAGTGAGAATGAAAAGAGAACATGGACAGACTGGAAAATGGAACACAGCTGCCCCATATGTGTCTGGCTAGTGGGAGGGGTGAGGTTTTATTTAGGTCTTTGTAAGAACTAAAGAAAAATGGTCACTTCTTTGATCTTCTACAACCCATACCCTTCCTTCTCTTCCTTTGCCTTCTCTTACCCATGAATAAACTGCAGCATTCCAGGAATAATAGATTCATAATATCTGTGCATAAAATGTTTTGAGGAAAACAAAACTGTAATGAGAAGAGGAATCACATCCTTTAGGAATTTGTGTTGTTTTTCATGCAGTGGCAAATAATAAGATGGTACAGCTTTTATTCTTTCTCCAGAAATACAATGAAATGGCACAGCATCCATAATGAGCCGACAGCTATTTCGGCCTTTTGGGCAGGTCTAGCCATACTTGTGATTTCAGTGGTACATGACCTTCTGCCGATGGCTCACCTGCCTGTGTACATAGCGCACTGTTCCTGTGGACGGGCCCAGCACTTTCCGTCATTGTTGTACTGTATGTGATGAATTGTGTTGGTCTCTGCATTTTTCTGCAGAAGAGGAGTAACTGCTCCGGGTACCTTGACCTTTGTACAGCTCAGAGGCCAACACGATGGGCTTGTGACTCTTTAGCAAAAAGGCCCATGTGATGATGATGATGATGATGATGATGATGATGTGTACATACATAAGGTTATATGGGGGAAGATTTCTAAATAAAAGTTTTACAAAAGGTCCAGGCATTGTGTTTGTTCTTTGTTCCCCTAGTCCTAAGAACCTGTCTCCTTTGAAATAGGGATACCTCCAAGACCTGGCTGTCTTCTTTAGGAAGTGGGAAGTCCCTACCCTGGCAGGCAGGCCTGATGCAAAGGAAGAAGGCTCCCTCTCATGGTTTGCATTTTTTTTCCTCCTTCCTGGCCTCCCAAAGGGGCCTTAGTTTAGTATTCTATGCCCATGTTTTCAGCCCAGGGCAACTCCAAAGCTTCCCTCTCTTTGTGTAGGATCAGCTTTCATGGCTGAGGGGTTGCTTCCAGCACAGGCTCAGAAAAGGTTACGCTGTCTTCATAGATGGCTCTGATTCTCTGATGAGACCATGGAAGGTGAAGCTCTTAGACCTGAGGCTCAGGCACAGAGGTCAGAGGCTTTGGAAGCCAACTGTGATGGCCTCTGTAATACCTGAGGATTTCTCTGGAGGCTCAGGAAGGTGATTTGATGCAGAACTGTGGGTCTGGGGAGACCACCGTATGGACTGTAATCCTCAGGAACTTCAGTAGGGTGGACTCCTCCAACTGAGTGTACATACTGCCCTCAGTTACTTTACAATCATTTATTTTACTTTACTTTGTCAGTTGTGGGGCTTGAACTCTGGGCCTGCGCACTGTCCCTGTGCTCTTCAGCTCAAGATGACCCCTCTACCACTTGAGCCATAGTGATAAGAGTCTCCGGTTTTCTAGTGATAAGAGTTTCACAGACTTTCCTGCCTGAGCTATCTTTGAACTGTGATCCTCAGATCTCAGCCTTCTGAGTAGCTAGGATTACAGGTGTGAGCCATTGGGATCTGGCTACAATCATCTATTAAGCACTTGCTATTGGCTAGACATCGATTTAGATCTAGAGGCTGGGGAATCTGGCATTGAACAAAGATCTCTGATTTTGCAGAGCTTAAACTCCATCACAGAAGATAGTAAACACACAAACACAACTACAATAACAATATAAATAGGGCTGTTTTAAAAAGTTAGAAAATGAAAGATATTAATGCAGAGAGCTGTGCTGAGAGGAACTTAAGGATCTTGAAGATAACTCACTCCTTCATAATGAGCAGGACCTGTTGGTATCTTCTATCAGAGAACTTCCATTAACAGGAGGACAAAGGCAGGATCCAGCTTGGAGATCAAGCTCAGGCTGGTAGGAAGCTCTTCAGTTTTTGGAAACCTCAAGCATGACTTTCCCTGACCCAGAACAAGGGGAGGAGGGACTGAGAGATTTTCCCCAGGATGAGCCAGTGAGAGCTGGTGACCGGGGAGGTGGAGGGAAGAAGAAGAAAAAAGGAAGGAAGGAAGAAGAAAGAGCAAGGAGGGAAGAAAGGAAGCAAGCAAGAGAAAGGAAAGAAAGGCAAAAGAAAAGGAAAAAAGGAAGAAAAGAGAGAACAGAGAGAAGGTAGTGTTAGAGACTAGAGCAGAAGGATATTTGGGAGGAGGAAGTGGTTAGCCAAGTCCAGTGCAGTTGAGCGGTCAAGAAAGAAAAGGCCTGAACATGTTGATTGGGTTTAGAGACATGGACACCACTGATGGCCAGATAAGAGCAGCACCAGGGAGGGGTGGTGGCAACAACCTAACTATTCTAGGGAAAGGCAGGACCCAGGTTTGGAGAAGAGAAGAGCACATAATCTTGCAAGGAATTGTTTTCCACGAGGAGAGGCAGTAAGAACTCATAAATCCTCTGGTCATTGAGAAAGATGATAGTAGGTTACAGAGTATCTAGGCTGCCTTAGGCCTTGGAGGTCATGTGAGCTAATGTCCTTGTCTCCAAATGGGGATACTGAGGCCAAGAAATGAAAAGGTTTTCCACAGTGACAGGTAGGCCAGGCCCAACACTATCCCTGAGGTGCTAGGGGCTTCTGAGCACAGGGAAAGGATTTCACCCTAGGCCCTGGCCTAAAGAGGCCCCTCGTGATCTTCCTAACATCACTTCACTTCTCACCACTCCTTCATTCTCTCAGCTCCCGTTGTACTTTCTGTCTGTTGTTCTATACCATATTGTTTTATGATTGATTGGCTTTTGTATCTTATGTACCCCCGAACGGTCTACCCATCTTCCCATCTTTCCTTCATTTGGTGGACTTGTCCTCAATACCCGGGAAGTTGTTCCATATTCCATAGAGCCAGTCACCTCCTTGTGTCCCCACAGGGCTTCCTTTAGGGTGGCTTTGTGCCACCTGTGTGTCTAATATTTGTCTGTACTGAAAGCAATCTCCTTGAGAGTGGGATCATTTGCTTGAGCCCCATGCCTCAACGTCTTGGGAGTTCCACTTGTACAAATGCCCTTTCCTATTTACAGTGAAGAGCTCCACTGGTGTGTGACCGCCTAGCTCAGTTCTGAGGCTAGCAAGGAGATAGGAGCTGGAGAGGTCTTCCTACACAGATGCTTGCTCCAGTGCCTCCTGCCAGGAAGCCATGCTCCTAAGGTGAGGAGAACATTACTACCATGGTGGAATTGGTGGAGGAGAGAAAGATAGAGAGGGCTGCTGGGGGCAGGTAGACATCTACCCTGGGCTAGTGAGAGACAGGAAGGAAGGGAAGAAGGGAAAGGAGGAGAGAAGGCAGGGAAGGAGGGAGAGAAACTCTTTTTATAAAGCCACAGTTGTATGCAATTAGGGACCCACTCTTAGGACCTGGGCTGCTTCTCTGGGCTAGTGAGGGGTAGGTGAACAGCTCTGACTTGGGCTAGTGAAGGGCAGATAGAAGCTCTTTTCTGGGCTGGCAGGAGTGCTTCTCCTTGGAGGGGTGAGAGGGAGGAGGAGGACATGAGCTTTCTGGGCCTGGGCTATGACTGCCTGGTTATCACTTTGGCCTGGTGGGGGAGGTGTGGAGTGATGGAAATCAGGAGTTATTTATCTCACAGTAGCTCAGCCTCTTCATGCCACTGACCTTCTTCCCTGTCTGAACAACAACTTCACCATTGCTCAGCAGCAGTCTCTGCCCCTTTCGGCCACTGCCCTTGTGAACAAGCAATCCTGGGGACCAGGACACAGGCCCTGGAGCAATAGATCTTGGCAATCACAAGTCTGAGTAAGGGAAGACACATGCCAGGGTCAACCAGGAGAGGACTTGAGGCCCAGAGAAGATAAAGGCTTTTCCAAGGTCTTTCACACGTATGATGTGAATTGGGGTCTACAACCAGAACTAGTACACCAGATCCTGCAGGAAGGAAGAAGAGACCTAATAAGTAGCAGGTGTTTTGGAGTAGGTGGGTCCTGGCTATGCTATTGGATAAGATAGCAGCTCAGCTTATCCCAGCCATCTGCTCTGTGGGCAGTGGAGAGCTTGCAAGCAGCAGTAGGTGGCAATGAGGGTAGTAGGTACATTTCATAAACAGAGGTACTAGAACCTAGGGGGAACAAGGCCTTTGAGGTCAGAATGACCTAGGTTGGAGCTTCAGCCTTGCTACTTAATGCACTGGCTGTGTGACTCTGGGTGAGTCAGTGTATCTCTCTGAGCTTTAATTGCTGCATGCAGGGTTGTCACAGAACTTCAAAGTAATATACAGAAAGAGCTTGTGTTTTTATAGAAAAGAGACATTGTTAATGAGATTGGGATGGGGCTGAAGAATCACCAGGGACCACCTCGTCCTGTCTGCAAGGGCTCAAAGACTGGATGGAGGCAGCCAGCATCACCTCCCTATAGCTGAGGCGGGCCTCTTCAGGCTGCTTCAGACCCCTCTCCTGGCTCCCCTATTCCTGCTGGGCTGCCTGGCATCAAGCATGGTGGGCCACTGTGACATTCCTTCCTCTCTCCATCTCTCCCCACTGAGTTGGTTTGAACCCTGCCTCCCTCCCTAGCTCCTGGCCTTCTCTGTCCGCAGCACACAATAACAGGATGTGATCCGTTCGAAGAGAGGAAGTGGGGAGAGCGGGCAGTGCTGATAGCCAGGTCTGACTCTCCACTCCTGCCCTCCCCTGTGGACCGGGCCCTGCAGCTTCTCCTCCCCCAGGCACTGTCTGGGCTTCTCTGTGTTTAGGAGGGATGGATGTGTGGTCTTTAGATCCACCCAGGCCTGGTGAAGCCTGTGGAGACACATATT